TTGTTTTACACAAAGTTCTTGCAGTGACTGGGTTCACTGTTTGGGTTCATTGTACAGTTTTAAATATAATATGAAATATCCATAAAAGTCAGGGGTCGTTAGTTACTAAATAATAGGAAAAAAAATATTTCCCTTAAGGAAAAATGTTGGGAACCACTGAAGTAGGGGATATGTAAATGGAAAAAAATGGAAAATACAATTTGACATAATATAATTTAACAGTTAACTTGATAATTGACTAACATTGGTTGATTGGTTTAGAATTCACATGTGCACGTTTGGCTGTAGAAAGAGCTTATCAAGACCTTTCATTTGATATATATAATTCATTTTTGCCCCAAATGTCACTTACGCCCCTCTGGTTTTCACCTCATCTCACATATAACAGTTTAGTGTGAATCAGTGTACAGGGGTTACTGTGTGTATTCTTCTATTAAACCAACAGATCTGACTCTACAGTAGATGTAAATGTGTAACCAAGCTTAGGCAAAGACTTTCAAGATGAAAAGTGTTTGCCACTCATCCGCTACAGATTCAGACGTTCATAGGACAATGGAATGATATGTTTAATGTTTTGGTATATTTGCAATGAATCGAAGAAGAGTATAGAAATCACTGACAAATGCCACTGGTTGATAACATGAAGAAAAGCCACCTACACAAACTAGACCTTAACAATTTCCAATAACGCATGTTGAGATTTATGGGTGCAGTGCTGCAATGAGCCGCAGGTTAATATTATTAGAAAGAACCACACACACTTTATGGGCTGATAAATATTAAAAGCTTAATCTGCACTGGACCAGTCCCTCTATTTGAAAAATAACACTGTACTGTTTGCACTAACATCTTAATAACCACCATTTTTCAAACCCCATGAAGTTGGTGCAACCAGATCTCTCTCAAGTCCTGCATCGAGGGAGGACCAGCTATAGAGCAACATATTCACCCAGGGACAGCTTAGTGCTGACTGAATGATCAAAGTAGACAGCCTGTATGGTGCTATCCTCTAGCCTGCAGCAGAGGCAGCCTTTCAACCAACACAAAAACACAGACTGAAAGCTGTGAGATGAATGAAGAGCCACAGAGTTTCTCTAAAGATTCACAGTTATTTGTCATTTGTCCAGTATGCAATGCCTTACATGTCCCTGAACTGACAATAGTCTAACAACTATTTGTGTAATGTGAAATATAATGATTTTCCAAGTAATGCCATCTGGTAGATACTGGAGGGCACGTTAAAATCAGCTCAGTAACATAATGATACAACTCATGCATAATTTCATTCATTTGCAGCTTTCACTGGGGGGAAAGCAACAGTGATAAAATGGTAGTGCTGGTAAATGTCAGTTGATATATACAGTATATTCAAAAGCTTTCTATTCAATTATTCATCTGTGCATTAAGATAATTGAAATGTTTCTTCAAATGTCATTAATTTTGGAATGCATATCCAGATAGTCCTCCAGTATTGTCACATTTAGTGTAAAATCAACTGGACATATTTTTGAACTTTTGATGATATAAATCAGCTCCAGGTCACCAATACATTCTACACCCAGTATGTCCTCCAGTTCTGTCATATCAAATATGAAGAAAATCTGCTGATGTGTCCCTCGTTTTTTAATTTGATGTGGCCTACAACATTATACCTCTTTCACAGCTACAGATTGCCAACTAGTACCCTTTTACAGTGTAGTGCCATGTTCTCATGTGCTAAAAGGCAGGCAAAGGAGTCCATGGAATTGTTCCAAAACGACAAATGCTCCTGGCCTCCGGATCCCGCCCCCAGCATTGGTAGACCTTCAGGTCCAAGTTACCTCAGGTGCATTGACCCCAGTATACATTTCTAATGCAAGCTGATTTCCTCTACTGATACAGGTTTGTGTGGCAATGGTATCAATAAAATCTTATCAATTCCTATCCCTACTGCCATGTTTGTTAAAATAAATGAAATAACGATTCACCACACAGTCACAGTAACACCACTGTGCGGTCAGTGGTGTCCAATACGTCCTACAAAGTTGAGTGAAATATGCAAGGGCCAAAAAGAGAACGTGTCTTACCTGTTGTTGAAGGTCACATGATTGTGGCATTAGGAAACAGAAAAAAGGGAAGGGGGAGAAAAAAGATTTTCAGTCAGTTCAGAATCTGCCTCATTGCATTAAACAAAGGTCTGCAACATCAACCCTAACAATGTCTCAGCGTTAGAACTAATACAAAATGTAAATCATGAATGTGCCTCAATAGATAGAATTTCTTGAAGTTACATGACATTTGAAAGAAAACACTGTGTTAGTGAATGCCACTATGTCAGAATGAAGGCCTACAGTGTCAGAATTTGAAAGCTAGAGCTACCGAGTCAGATTCAATTAATTAATCAGGAGCAGTTAACACACATTTTACAAACAGTGTCAAGTACTGTGTCAGATTTTAGTAGTGAGAAAGGGCTGAGGAGAATAGAAAGAATCACACTGGAAAATAAAAGCTGCATTCAGCAGACTGTGGGATTTAGCCAGAAATACAGTAGTCAGTATTGAAACCCAGCATTATCAGGAGAAAGAAGCATTGGACTGAGGTCAGCTCAGGGTTTCCCCCAGTGTACAAGAGGTCAGGCAGGCCAAAAGGGCACTACAGTACATGGTTGTTACACTCATGGGGTGGTCAGCTATATCTGTTATGCTGTACAGTGTAAGTCTAAGTGTTTTAGACTTGCACTGTGTCAAGAATCTGCAGTTCTGAAATTCAGTTGTAATAACTGGGGGAAACCCTGATATTTGAAGGTGATTTTATTTATATATTAGGATAACACACCAACAAGCAGACTCTAATCTGGATTAGGACTTTTAACAGGAACAAAAACTGATTTTTTAAAAACCTATAAACTGCACTGGAGCTTTGCATTGCATCATTTTAGGTACTGTAACTCTTGGTTGAGGGTTTGTTCTTGACCTTGAAAATACACTCTACACTATTAGGTACACCTGGACAATATATTGCAGTCCAGTACAACTGTTCTGCAGATTACCTGGTCATAGTTAGTTATAATGTTGTACTGGAATGCATTATATTTATAGAAATAAAGTAGACTTTATGGCAGAAATGTTGTAGCGAATTGAAAAGACTAGGGTGTACCTATAAAGTAGTAGCAGTTTGCTCAAAGTCGTCTTATTTGATAGATTCTCCTAAATGTTACACACTGACACTGCACCTTTAAGTATGGTCTATGATCACTGACAGTTGGTCCAAGATTGGCAGGGGAAGATACCTAGTAAGGCGACTTTGAGTTCAGAGCATCTTTAGTTTGCATGGCAAACTGTAACCTCTAATGGGTTCAAATACTGTATACTTAAGAATCCACGGCATTCTCCAGTCTGGTCTTCTGTAGTATATATCAAATTTACTGTCTAAATCTAAATGTCCTACAATTTCTGCTTGTACAGATCAAAATCTTTGAGACTCTAAATGTGGTCATTATAAACTGTTGCAATAGACACAAAATATAGACATGATAAACCAAAGTTGGATAATTAGAGGTTGTGCTTTACCAACCGACATTATTGGTAAACCAATTCTCAACGTTTTTTTTTGCCACAGCCATGTTGACTGTTAACTTCTCCATTATCAGAATCAGAATCAGAAATACTTTATTGATCCCTGAGGGAAATTTGACGTTTGCTGCATTAACGTGGCTCTATGCAGTCGATAAACTGTAACAGCTGTAACATTATTGACTTTATAAAGCTAAAAGGCATTAGCAAACTAGCTTTGAGATGCAAGGACCCAGGTTGTGTTTTTGCTTCTATAGACAGAGAGGAGATAGTGGGAGGTTACACAGGCAGCTGACAATCAGATGAAACAGAAGACAGTGGAGCAAGCATAGATAGTGGAGCTATCAGCAGCAGGTCAAGTAATAAAATTGTTATGATCATGGTAACAGATACACAGAGGCAAGCAGAGGGAAATCAAATCAGACAACTTATCACTTTACCCTTGCAGTTTTGTTAATATAGGGCCCGACCAGCACAGTACATTTGTCTCCCATACTCATACTAACAGTTGGGAAGAGTGGTATATCTGGACACAAATGTTTCCCTGGTAAGTATATCAGGTAAAATAATATTTGTTAGGGAGGTTTTAATGGTAAAAAGAGCAGATTTGTGGTTAGATCTATTGTTGAATGAATATATTAAAAAATTATTATTATATAAGAAATAAGCCATTCTACATTTATCTGTCGGGCCCTGGTTATTACAAATACATAGAGGAAAGGATCAAGCACCAAGCAGCCCTGGTGCTCAATCGACAGACAAAGAGCCATGCATACAGGAAGACAAATAGTAGCTACTTCCTGCTATCCTAACCTACAATAATTTTGTTCAAAATTAGCCCCGTTATTCATAATCTTCCCTGTAGTTCACCAACCTTCCAGTGGGGGGAGCTGTGACGACGAGGACTCCTGGTGCTCTGAGTGTGCAGGGAGAGAGGGAGGGGCTGCGGGGGTGTTGGAGGGAGGGGGGGGGGCCGTTGCTGGGCTAATGGGCGTGGCTATATTTTTGGGGGCA